TCCTACTACTATAAAGGACCTTGCAGAGGAAGATTTTGCTGCAAAAGCAGTCTAGCAGGAGAAAAAACACACAGCCTAAATAAAGTGGAAAGATCCACTTCTTTTCTTTATGGCCCCACTCAAGCTCTCAAATGACCATGGTGAATATTCCCAAAGTCATTCCTTCAGTCTCACACCTAACCATCACCTCAACTGCAGTGTGTCCTCGCTAGCACTCTCCAAATATTGGATCATGTCTCCACCACTACACCCAAAAGCGTTTATCACAATTCTGCCTGGACTCTGAGAAAAAGAAGATATGATGGTCTAGGGGAAAAATCAGTATCTGATAGGGCTATCTTATTCTTCCTGCTGATTTTTATTGGACAAACAAGTGAAACAGAGCATTTTGATGCAGAGAAGATAGAAGTTTGTTTTCACTGATGACTAAAACAATCATTGTCACATGTACTCACATAAATACTAGCACTTCAAAGCAATTAAGCTGTTCACTGAGCAGAAAAATGATTCTGTAATGTTTTTAGCAATTAAAGTATGATTGGCAGAGTCCAAAACATAATGATTAGGTTTCATCATTTGAAGAAGGGTTTAAAGAAGGTGCAAGGGCTCTTTTATTTATCCTTTATTAACATTTATCAAACAGTACAATCCCTCTATTTGTTTAATGCAGTGAATATTCTATTACTAGTTCATTACAAAAAAATTTGCATTATTGCCATCATTTTGTTTTTCATGTTCTGCAAGGGTTACAACTGAAAGCAGCAAAAGTGTGATACACATTCACGTTCCCCTGGTTACACCTACTGAACTGAGCATTTAAATTTCATATGGGAGCATTAAACTAAACCATCTCTGTGACTGTTACTGAGTTAGAGATTTGGTGCTTTAAATCAAGGGACAAAGTGCAAGGTGTACCTCAAATGAACACAGCTGTGAAGTCAATTTGATAGCTAATACAAATTCAGTGTTCCTTGGTAAGCTCTGCTTGTTCCTTGTGGTTTTCCACTGATGATGAAGAATGCTGTGTTAAAGCCAACAAAAGTGCGTGTCCCCATGCACTTGGTGCCTTACAAATATAAATTACGGTGTTTTGCACTCAGTATGAGTGTCTGCTTAAGAGGATATTGTCTTGAGTTAGACATAGCAAATGAATAGAATAGCAATTTGCATTACTACTTTCTGTACTGCATTATGATTTTTCTCATTTTACGTAAATATCTAGATCAATAATGGCCCACTATGTTCTGGCTAATTTTTTGTGTTTGTTTTGCTTTTTTTTTTTAAATGCCTGCTCTGCAGACAGATTCCATTTTTCATCTCTTTGGCTGTCCAGAAAGTGTATTTCATAATCAAAAGAAATTATTAGAGATGAAAGAGAGCATGCTATCCTTGAGGACATAAAAGCAGCATTTGTAGACCTGGATTCAGAATTCTCAGTTGTACAGATAACAGTATTAGGAGAGAGCGTCAGATGTAATGAAAGTAGTTGTGCTACAATTGCAGTTTGAGGTAGCACATGTATGAGGGCCAGCATTGGGAGTGAAAGGACAGTGTATACCTGCTACATTTTAATGGGGCTTGCTGTTGTTTTGCAGAAAGTGATGTATGGCAGTCACATAACCTTCTGTCAAAGAGTAGTCAGACACCAGCAGAAACATAGAAAGGTGTCAAGCATCAAGTCTCCTACTCAAGAGGAGCCTGCAAGAGATAGATGTGCAATTTTACCAAGCAGTGGTTAGCAGTAGCTTCAGATGTCTCCATTACAGTTATTAAAATGAGAATTCCAGTCCTGAGAATAGGTTTGTCTGGCAAGGAGAAAGAGACAGGAGAGTGAGAGGAAGGATACTTGAGGGTCTGGGTTTCAAGTTCACATGTATATGTGAACCATCATCTATCTATCTATCATCTATCTATCTATCTATCTATCTATCCTCTTTTTAGCTGCATTTTCTGAGTTTCTAAGATTAATTTGATCATAAAAGCCATTCAGAGCCAATAGAAACAGATGCATTTTGTCAGATGAATGTCTTTCATGTATTTTGGGTGCTCTTATTACTTATAATTATTGCGGAGTAAACCATACGGTGAAGTCTGTAACAACTATATTCTGTGGAACTTTTCTTTAAGCATTTTCTTTACAAGGTAAGGTGTTAATCAGCTACATCTTTTGTGTCATTTAGTCATAGCACATCCTAATACTTCCTCCCAAAAACACATGCTGAATTTACACTCTCATACAGTAAAATTTATTCCTGTACATTAAGGTCTGGAAGATAAGCATGGTAAAGTCCAGAATACTCTTCCCATAAACCCTGTGAGAAGGAAACTATTTAATGTTGGCTTTCCCATGTTAAATACAACATAATAGTGTATAGTTAAAATTAATTTAATCTAGTAGAATTTGAATTTGGCAAAAATGCTAGAAGGATTATACTAGAACTATAACAACAGTAGCAATAGCATTTTTGGAAGTCTGAAATACAGTGTTATGCCTAAGAAGAGTGTTTCAAATACCTCATGCTCAAAAAGCTATCCAGATAGGGAAAAAAGCAGCAAAAATAATTTCAGGTGGAAAATGAACCAGTAAATATTCCATAAACTCTCTCCATCTTTTTTTTCAGAGATTATGATGGCAATTAGGACATTTCTTTGATATTGTCTACGGATGCCAAGTCTATATGCTCAGTTGAGTTATTAAATTCTTAAAATGCATTATGTTCAAATCACACTTTCTAAAGTGGTTTTCTGTTAGAACTACATCAAATGAAAGCCTTATTACTGGCTTAAATGTAATTCAGTTCATCCTTGTTGTGTCAGGAGATGTTTTTTTATATAAGGGGAAAGAAATGAAAAAAATTTTTAAAAGCCCACTAGTCATCATGAGGCTTTTTTAATACCATCAGCACTGCCATAAAGACAGATGATAAACTGCACACTATTTAGAAGAAAGAAATAGAATGAAATTAGCATTGAACTACTCCATATTAATCATAGCCCTGGATTCCTTTCTTTACAGGCAAAATAAAAGTTTAGCTCTTTCAGATTTTAATGTTTTCTCTCAGACTTCACCATTATTTGTATGAGAGGGAAATAAGAAATCCATGTACTGAAGGAAGAACACAGGAATATTTTGGACGGGTGGGGTTGCTAAATTTTTATCACTGTTTCCAACCAATAGCAAAGCAACATTGGTGACTTGGGTCCATTTATGTTTCACAATAGTAACCTAATGAAGCTCTTTAGTGCTGTGACAGGTAAAGGCTTGAAAGGTTTATGGCAAGGGAAAAAAGCTTCGATAAATAACTTGAAAATCTGCCTCTTATTGCTTTCATAATTGTTGCTTCTTATAATGGCATAATGGAAGGCAAATTTTAGTTGAAAAATGGCTAGAAAAGAGGAACTTTCTTTTCTAATAGGAGCTAATAGGATGTACAGTGGGATTTTTTTTTAAAACCATTAAGCCTCTCTCAGACTTAAGGGAAGAATTTAAAGGTCTTTTTTATTATAGCTAGTCTCTCTAGGGATCAGACCTAAAACATGACAGATGAAGATTTTTCTCTTTGCAAGTAGAGAATAATAGTTTCAGGATGATTTAACTGAAAGAAGAAAATTCTGGCATCTCTTCACATGAGCTTTTCTCCCAAATCCTGGTTACCTGTGAAGACCACAACCACAGACCTGGTGTTCTCTTTGCAGTGAAGGGGAAATCTGATGCCTGACTTCTTCAAAGATCAGGAGCCCAGTCCTGCCTTAACTTGGATCTTTCTGGAAAACCAGGCTTTTAGTGCATGGAAATTTGAACAGAATTTTTTTTTTTTTTTTTCATTGAAGGAGGTGGAAATAGGCTGAAAAGAACATCTGGAAGCTTTTCAGCCGTTGATCAGAAGTGCACCAGGTTTCATCAGCTGTTTCCCTTTTCAGTTATAAAACAAGATAGACTCCACCCCCCCACACACGCACAAAAAAAAGAGTGCAGAAAAGACTGGCTGAAAGATATTTTTCCTATCAAAATTTTTTAAAAAACTTGGATTGACAATTTCATTTTAAAAATTTAAAGCAGACCTCTACTTCTGCTAACATTTTCTACTGTCAATTTTCCAAACAGATGCAATTAGAAAAGTGTTGTCAGTTTCCCTGTGGGTAGGTGGAGGTGGTGTGCCTTATGTTCCCCTCCAGCATCACTCAATGCCTACTTGAAGCTGCTAGCATTTATGGGTCACATAGCAGGACTCAGATACTTAGATGCAACTTGCCTCCAGTTGCATCGGATATTTAGAGGCTGCCTCCAGCCTCTGCTGGAAGAATGAACCTTAAAAGTGTTGGCTAACACTGGACTTTTGCATTTTCACAGTGTGGCTGATAAAACAACAAAAGATATCAAAGGATATACAGTTATATCCTATGGCAGGTACACAAAAACAATAGCAAAACAGGCAAAGTAAAAGGGAAGCTACTGAGGAAAAATCTATCAATCTGGTAACTATAGGCATTGCTGAAATCATTCACAGCCAATGGAAATGGAGTAAGGTATATAAATAGCATGATGGGACTGAAGCAAAGAATTCTACATGCAATTTATTTCAATTGAATGCTATTATGCAAATAAAGCATTTCATTGCAAAGCAGCCAAGATGCATTATTCTATTTCCTGCTGCTAAAATAGAAATTATTCAGCAGTTGTTTGCATAGCATTTTTGAGGGGAGGTATACTTCAGCTTCAATAGCTCTTGCTTCATTTGCTGTTATTATTTTGGGCCATACAGTCAACTCAAGACTCTTGCACAGTCCTGACTTCCCACTGCTGCAGGAAAACTATTCTTCTTTTAACCTTCGATGGCTTAAGGTGGGAAAGCATTATAGACATTGATATTTGCTTGATTTGTGAAAAAGTCAAGGCATAGTCCTCTTGGCTCTTTTCCCCAGCTGTCTTGGTTTCTTTTTGAGGTTCTCCTGGAAGAAATTCTATGCTTTCATACTAAAGCCAACATTTCATTTCTCAGTTTCTACAGATCAAGTGATGAAATGTCATGTGTGAACCCCCTGAAGGCTGAGAAGAGAAACTCTGACTTCCCCACAGAAAATTGTGAACTGCAGTTTCTTACTGGCTGACAACACCTTTGACTCAATTTGTATGAAACTCAATTTACTTATTAAAATGGACATTATTGTTCAAATATTAGAAACTCCATTTCTTATATGTTCTAAGCTGTACAATTGTCAGATTTTTATGGTTTAGATTGTAAATGTGTTTTTCTCTGGCTAATTATTGGTATTATTTTTTTAATTTTGATGTCTTAAAGGCCAATGTACTGTATCATAATAATATGAAGGACGTATTTAACAGGTGTGGAAAACACTGTATACAAATGTATATTTCTAAAAGCTATTTTTATGATTAGCACATTTTACTGTTTTACCATATTTAGTCAGGTGATATTGCACTTCTTTGTTTACTGCTTAGTTCAAACAAGACCATTTTGATCAGTGCATAATTAAATACATTGTATGGTATTTCCCATTATTTTATTCAGTTTATTTGTCATTGGCAATAATTACATTTGGTAATAGAATAGCTTCTAAAAAGTGAAAATGTCAAAATAAGAGAGCAATCCTTGATAAACTGTAAATTGCATCCTCCTGTAAATCCCCTTCTTCAGATAAGTCCTCTCTGTGATGCCATTCACCAGACAGTTGTTACAGCTGTTCTTGCAAATCTTTAAAGGCAGTTTGTTGCTACCATATGGAAAGTCAGACAGCATCCTGTCTAGCCAGAAAAATTACTTATAGCCTGCCAATATCTGACAGCCTGAGTTAGCCTACTTATTACTTTTTGGTTTCTTTTCTGGCAGTAGTCTTTCCACACACAAACTCCTAAGGCCCTCCTAAAAGACTGAAGTTGGAATAATTAATTATTGCAGACATAGGGGGAATCTCAGTATAGAATTTCTTAATAAATCATATTTCCTTTCAAACAGAATGAATGCATTATTTCTCTTGTGTTACTGAGACATTAAAGGTAAAAAAGCATACAGGCACAAGGACTTCTTCCTCTAGAAAAGTACCAACTTGTTCACTATCCCAAAGTCAGACCTCTTTAGCATTGCAGATGACATGAAACAAGGAATATGTATTTATTCATCTACATCTTTATGTGAGTGGTACTCATATAGAAAGAGACATGTCTTTAAAATGATTGCAGGGTAAATAAATTATTTATTAGCTACAGCCTCCCAACAGGGAGAGGCATTAATTTAGGAAGTATCTTACACAGTCAAATGGAGCACAGACCCAGTCTGCATTAAGCATTAAGCCCTGACCACTGAGCTCCATGACTGGGGTACTTGCTATTTTAGATCATCCAGCACTAGAAAAATGAACTCTTGTCTTGCCCTTTCAAACATTCTCTGTAGGTTGAAAACAAGAGAAAACAAAAGGTACCGGAGAGACTTTTTAAAAAATCTAACTTTATATTTCTCTTTTAAAAAGCAGTTTCTGAGATGACAGGTTCACCTCAAGTAGTGTGGGTGTAAGCTGGTGGGAGCTCAAGGTCTCTGGTCAGGTTTCTGGCATGGGGACCATCAACAAAGAAGGACTGATATTTTTCAAAAATTTGGAAGAAAAGCATACCTTTTAATTACCTATTACTGAGTGAGAATTTTTTTCACTATGTAGCTATGTGACATTGCACCCTCAGTTACGTTTGTGTACCTTATATTTAGCTTGTCTATTGTATGTTACATGGCTTACCTAAGTGCTGAGTAGTACCCAGCTCCTTAAATAAGGAAAGACTAGTACAAGTAGTTACACCTGAGCATAAAGAACTGCAGCTTCAGAATTTATCAGGGCTGACTCTCCAAGAAAAGGGCAGGAACAAATATTACTCCCATGTAAGTGAAATGTTAGGTCAAATCAGAAGGTGAAATACTTCTCCATTTTCTATCACTTAATATAGGTTATGAACATTTTTAACTGTAAAAATGCAAAAATAATTGCCATTTTGGGATTTCTGTCTTCAGCTGACAGTTAAAAAAATAAAGGAACTCCAAATTTCAGCAGCTCAAATGTGTACCATTTAAATCACCTACACTGTTGGCTGAAAATCATCCAAGGAGATCAGTTCTAATATTGGTGTTAATAAAATAGATATGAGAAACATCTAGGTATATTGTCTCTTCACCACCTCCATTCCAAATGAGCTAACACTCACAAAAAGCACTCTGAGATTTTTAAATGTTCTTCACAATCATTACCCTTAGAGTATAAACTCACAGTAATGATTGCACATTCATAATGTTGACACTGTTCCACACCACAGCTTAAGTCCTGAATATTTTGAATTTATCCTGAATATTTTTTGAAGACAAAAGTCATCTCTGATGACACCATGAGGCACTATTTCATTTGCAAGCCAGAAGATTGTTGCCCCATGCAGTCTATTACTAGTAAGGTTTCTCAATGGCATGTTTGCTTAAAATCACCCAGAGGATGCTGGTAGCTTTGACAGAGCTTAATAGCTCTCTGCTGTCCATGTATGCAGTATGCTTGGTGTTGTTTGCCATCACCTGTTATTTTTTTGACATAAGTTTTGGCAGTTGTGGGATTTTTCAACTTGCTCATCCCTTGCAATATGGAGGAATAGGAAACATAAAGGATCTTGTCAATCAGTTTGCACAGTCAACAGTCATAAAATCCTTTACAGACAGTCCTGAATCAAACCAATTCATTTTCTACACAGATATATATGCTCTGAGTATTTCAGAAGTTTGTTTCAAACATGGGCAGCTGCATGAATGGAAAATGTTTACTAAAAAGCTTTAAAGTTTGGATCAAGAAAAAATATTTTTACTTTTGTAAACCCTTGTATTACATATTGTTGCAGTTCCTATTAGTTTTCTCTGTAGATCCATTTTTAGTTCTGAAAAATCACTGTACTTAAACTATGTAGATAACTATAATCTTGTTAGCAGTCTTATTTTTAATTGGTGCCACTGCAATTTAGATTTGAAACATTCAGAGTTTGCCCATTAGAGCAGATTGATGGTTCATTACAGTTTTCTTTAAAATGTTGTAACATAATTTTTACATGTCTGTAAATAAATATTTTCTCTGATTTATGCACTAATTCAGTTTTGCAATTTCTTCTCTTAAAATATGACTCTAAGACACTTTCTAGGAAAAATGTATTTCTCTCATGGAAAAATGGCATTTAAATCTCTGTAGTACAGCCATCCTTCACAAACTTTCAAAGCAGACCAAACAGAAGGAGGCATTCATAATATTAAGTACTAAACTTCAGTAAAATGGATAAAAATGTTAAACCTGCTATCATTTTAATAGTTTGAGATATTTAAGTACTAGTACCATATTAAAAAATGACTGACAAGAAATGTGACTGACTTCCTGAAAAGAGGGACCTCTTCAGAGGAGTGAAAAAGAGGGAGGCACAGTGGGATATTTCATTGAATTTAAGAAATGCATTTTCTTAATCTTGGAAGCTTCTAAGTTTCATGTATCACAAAAGCAGTATGAACATAATTTACAAAAACCATGCCAAAAATAGTTATAATTTTCTGCTCAGTATCCAAATGCATTTTTCATTCATAGTTCCCTATTCCATTCACAAGGTGTTGCTATGCTGGCAAGCTAAAGAAAATTGGTCCACAAAGTCTATGAGAATGATTTTGAATTATATTGCTATTGTTGGGAAGCATGACTGTTTTGAAATATAAGGTAAAACCAGCACAACTTGACAAGTTAGTACAGTAGCTCTGAGCATTTATGAGCAATGAAATGTTCTGGACACAAGAATAGAAGAGAAAGAGAAAATAAAGGCACGTGTGCACAGCAGTTGGAGCCCAGTGTTTATAGTCCATGCCCTTACAAGAATCAGCTCGGGAAAACTGGTAAGAAAATCCTCTGAGAGGCTGCTTAGAAAAAATACTGCATGCTACAGGGAATACACAGTTGTTGGGTTTTGGGTGGTGGAATAATAACTCATTTGAAACAAAAATTGCTTGAAGTTTTGTGGCTGCTATAATAAGTACTTTTTTCCTGACTAACCCCTCAAAGAAAGATTGTTGTTCCACATTTGGGCAAACAGAATTAATCCACAAGTATCGCACTTTATTTTAACAGAAAACTAGTTTGCAGAGCATCCATCCCATATAAATCCCACCAACTAAACAAAAATGTTTCTAAAGGTTACATTTGAATCTTTCTGATACTGTCCTGGCTACATGACTTAGCAGCCTAAGGTAATGGAGAAAAAACTTTGCATAACCACTCTACTGGTGTATTACTATAGGTGACTATATCTATGCATATGTGGAAAAAATATCCTTCCATTTCTTTGTGCTTTAAATAATTACTAGAACTAGAGACAACTAAAGTTGTGTAAAATAAGAACCAAACTCATTCCTGTTGACAGTCATTAAATAAGTACCTTCAGTGTATACTCCAACTGGATTCTTAAGCAGAAACTGTGGTCAGTGTTCATTCTATGAGTAGTTACAGAAGCATTTAGCAAATTATTTAAAGAAAGAAGAAATTATATTGCTGCTAATAATATTGCTGCTGCAGCAGGACCACGGTGGAACATGGTGGAGGAACAGAGGATTTACAGCATGGCAGGGATGCAGCTTGAATCTGGTGCTGAGATCTCAAGGAGTATTGAAAGGATTTTACCTCAGAATGACTGAGGAAAGGGGATTTTTTGTACTTGTACTCATTTTATATTTGAAGAAACCTCCCCTATATACTTAGTTATTTTCACATCTGACAGCATGCCATGATTTTGATGATTCTTTCAAGGGGTAAATCTCAAAATCTGCATGTGATTTTGGTCAAATTTAGTGAGAATTCAACACTTAGCAATAAGTAGTCAATCACATTAAATATTTATCCCTTCTTCAGAGTTTTGGCCTTGGTGTTTAATCCACAAGGCAAGGGAGGGATTTCATAAATATCTGTTTACTTGAGTGGTCACATTAATTGCAAATCTATTCTTCCATTGACAGAAAAGCTATAGATCATAGAACCATAGAATGGTTTTGGTTGGAAGGAACCTTAATGATCAACTAGTTCCAAGCCCCCTGCCCTGGCCAGAC